CTTGCTCAAAGCTGCATCCGAAGCCCGAAAACTTAACGAACCCAAAACTCATATGCAAAAACATTGCAGACATAACCCCCCAAAATGTCTCTACCCGAGATACCCTCAAACTCCCATACACAACAACCCGAAATCCCCAAAAGACCCAATGGAAAACACACAATCTTGCTGAAGGCTTCATCCTAAACCCTAAAACTTAAACAAACCCAAACCTCATATGAACATAACCCCCCCCCCACCCCCCCCAAACAAAAAAATATCGGCTCTACCCAGATACCCTCAACATCCCAAAGCAACATTGCACTGCCATGTTTCCCAAAACCGCACGCAGTCAGTCGTGTGTCAACGGCACAACACACCAGTAGTCTGCACGCTCTGCAGATCTTCGGAGCTGAAATGAAACTGAAACGGACGTTCCACGTACCTAGCAAGGAAGACCTTCCTCGACCGCAAGGTCCATCTGTCGCATCATTGTGTTGCAAGCCTAACTAAATCAAGCCTTCAAAGGGGCTATGATGCACTAGTTCGGGTCCGGTTACCTTAGCATGCCATGTCACGATTGTGTATGGGATTTGCCTATATTTTCAGGGCATTTAATAGTTTAAAGGCTGTTTTTATGAATATGACTCACTTATTGATATTTGTTCTTTTGGGGTTTAGGGGGGTTTAGGATGGGGCTTAAGAGCAATGACTGAGTTTCCCTCGGTCGTGCCAGCCAGCTGGCAGCCATTTTCGGGGCGTTTTCAGGTTGATAGGTGTTTGTTTAGGGTTTAAGCTCTCTGCCAGTTAGTTGCTGCCATGCAATGTTGTTGCAGAGACAATGGCTTTAGGCTTTTAGGGAATTAGGGTTTCTAAGGGGGTGAGAAAGTCCATCGGGTAAGAGGGCTAAACTTATATATTCATGCTTTCGGGTCTATGATACTTGTCATTTTGTGATGTTGGGTGGAATTTGTATGGGATTTGCCTATATTTTCAGGGCAATTAATATTCTAAGGATATTTTTATGAATATGACTTGTTGATATTTGTTCTTTTGGGGTTTAGGGGGGTTTAGGATGGGGCTTAAGAGCAATGACTGAATTTCCCTCGGTCGTGCCAGCCAGCTGGCAGCCATTTTTGGGGGGTTTTCGGGCTGATAGGTGTTAGTGTAGGGTTTAAACTCTATGCCAGCTAGCTGGCTGACATGCATTTTTGTTGCAGAGACAATGGCTTTAGGTTTTTAAGGCATTAGGGTTTCTAAAAGGGTGAGAAAGTCCATCGGGTAAGAGGGCTAAACTTATATTTTCATGCTTTCGGGTCTATGATACTTGTCATTTCGTGATGTTGGGTGGAATTTGTCTGGGATTTGCCTACATTTTCAGGGCGTTTAAGATTTTAAGGATATTTTATGAATATGACTTGTTGACATTTGTTCTTTTGGGGTTTACGGGTTTTAGGAAGAGTGCTTCGCAACTCAGCGCAAAACAAAAGTTTCGTGGAAATTGTGGCGTGGCATGGCATGTCCGAACAGCAGATCGTGAGTCGTGAGGGGGTCACTTGAACAGCGCCCCACATGTGTCATAAACATGCGTGCCCGCTTGAACAGCGGATCATGCTAAGGTCACCCACGTGGTTCTACCCTATAAACCCTAAATGGTAATTAAGAAAGTCACCCGTGGTCGAGGTGAGATGGTTCCTGCATGCCTTCCTGATCGGTGGATGCTGGGGTTTAGGGTTTACGGTTTAGGGTTTCCGCGTGGATTTCAGGCCCGTGCTCAGCAGCTTAGGGCGTACGCTTCGCTTCCTGAAAAGTCTCCGGCATCAGTCCGCCTCTGCTTCATAACAAAGCTCTTAATTAAGCCTTAAATCCGACACCAAAGCACATCTTTCTCGAGTGTATGTGTGTGTGTGGCACAAGCGGCCACGTGATTGAAAGTGGGAACATTTTGAATGACATTTCTTATACATATACATATACATCTACATATACATCTACATCTACATATACATATATATATATATGCATACATACATACATACATACATACATACATACATACGTACATGAAAGTCTTTTGGGTTTAAATTCAGGGTTTAGGGTTTAGGGCTTAGGGCTTAGGGCTTAGGGTTTAGGGCTTAGGGCTTAGGGCTTAGGGCTTAGGGTTTAGGGTTTAGGGTTTAGGGTGTAGGGTTTTTTTCCCTCCTGCACAGCTGGGGCGAATCCGCGTCGCAGGGCGACTTCTGGGTACAAGTTGGTCTGGTCTAGGGTTTAGGGTTTAGGGTTTAGGGTTTAGGGTTTAGGGTTTAGGGTTTAGGGTTTAGGGTTTAGGGTTTAGGGTTTAGGGTCTAGGGTCTAGGGTTTAGGGTTTAGGGTTTAGGGTTTAGGGTTTAGAGGGGAAACTCAAGCCCAGTTTCAAAGCAACTACGGCGAACGAAAGCTTTTCAGCTTTTCCTGCCCGGTCCGGTCATTTCTGCTTGATTGTGTGTTTTGTTATGTTCGTTTTTCCGAAAAGAGCCGACAGTTTTGGATTCCATGAGACAGCTTTGGGTCGAATGAAAGAAGTGAATGTCTACAAGTTTTTTCTGTCGCCATGCCCACTGGTCACCCTTGCCTCTCCAGCCCATACCGCCAACTATCCCTGCCAATGCGCGGTCCCATCATGATCATGACTAAGACAACCCAGCCACCAACCATCTATGCCCCAGTTTGAGGATCCAAGACAAAACCCCACCAACCAACCAACCCATAAACATCGCCAAGAAACCCTCTGACGCCCAAAAACTTGTGCTGGTAACGTAATCCCGCGACCAAATAGCTTGGGCCAGCGACCAAGTAGCTCGAACTGCTCGAACGCTCTGACAACCAAAAACCTGTACTGAAAACGTAATCGTGGCTCCAGAAAGGTTGTGAATATGCCCCCGCGACCAAATAGCTTGTGCCACAGCGACAAAGTAGCTGGAACCCTCTGACGTGCTGGTAACGTAATCGTGGTTCCAGAGGGGTTGTGAATATTCTGCCCCCGCGACGAAATACCTTGCGCCACAGCGACCAAGTAGCTCGAACCCTCTGACGCCCAAAAACCTGTGCTGGTAGCAGCCCCCACGACCAAATAGCTTGCAAATAGCCTGCGCCACCAAGTAGCTCGAACCCTCTGACGCCCAAACACCTGTGCTGGTACCGCAATCGTGGCTCCAATAGGATTGTGAATATGCCCCCGCGACCAAATAGCTTGCAAATAGCTTGCGCCAGCGACCAAGTAGCTCGAACCCTCTGACGCCCAAAAGCCTGTGGTGGCAACGTAATCGTGGCTCTAGATGGCAATATGCCCCTGCGACCAAATGGCTTGCAAATAGCTTGCGCCAGCGACCCAGTAGCTCGAACCCCCTGACGCCCAAAAGCCTGTGCTGGCAACGTAATGGTGGCTCCTGAAGGGTTGTGAATATGCCCCTGCGACCCAATAGCCTGCGCCACAGCGACCAAGTAGCTCCAACCCTCTCGGAAAAATAGCTGGCGCCAGCGACCAAGGAGCTCGATCGCACCCTCTGACGCCCAAAAACCTGTGCTGGGCGTGGCTCCAGAAGGGTTGTGAACATGCCTTTGCGCCAACGTTAAATAGTTCGAACCCTCTGACGCCCAAACACCTGTGCTGGTAACGTAATCATGGCTCCAGATTGGTTGTGAATATGCCCCCGCGACCAAATAGCTTGCGCCAGCGACCACGTAGCTCGAACGCTCTGACGCCCAAAAGCCTGTGCTGGTAACGTGATCGTGGCTCCAGAAAGGTTGTGGGTATTACAGTATGCCCCCGCGACCTATTAAATAGCTTGCGCCAGAGACCAGGTCTGTCGAACCCTCTGACGCCCAAAACCTGTACTGGAACGTAATCGTGGCTCCAGAAGGGTTGTGAATATGCCCCCGCGACCAAATTGCTTTCGCCAGCGACCAAGTAGCTCGAGCCCTCTGACGCCCAAAAACCCATGCTGGTAACGCACTCGTGGCTCCAGAAGGGTTGTGAATATGCCCCCGCGACCCAACAGCTTGCGCCAGCGACCAAGTAGCTCGAACCATATTGGACGCGCAGGCCCTCGCAGCCCCTTCAAATGTGGTTCAACTAGCATCCTGCTTTTGTGGGGACCTGACATTTTTTCGGCCACATGGGCTCTTTTCCCACAAAGGGATAAACATCTCAATGTGCGTAGGTTTAAAACCCTAGAATCATAATGTGTTTGATGCCGTTCAATGCGTGAGCAAAGAGTGATCAGACCGGCAGGCGTGTGACCGTGCGGCAAAATTTAAGGGGCGTTCACACGTGATGGTTTTTGTTTGTTGGATGTGTTGTGTCTTCCCCCGATAGAGGCGCGCAAATCATAATGAATCATAACGTGGGTGAAGCGTTCGGAAGAATGCTATAGTCATTTTCTTGAGTGCGTACACCACGTTATGATTTGCTGCCTCTTCTGCAGGAAACCACAGAGAAAGTGCCATAACGTGCTCCTGCTCCTGCGTGTTATGATTTTAAACCTTTCGAAAAGACAGCAGGGCCTTGGATGTTTCCTAAGAAAGGTCCGTTTAGTAAATTGAGATGTTTATCCTTCCGTGGCAAAGGAGGGGTCTAGAGGTTTGTCGTATGTCCACTCCCTTCTCGTAGGGTTTGGAGAGAGCAGTGGAGGTTTGGTGCTCGTGGGGTTTGGTGATGGCACGAGCTATTTGGTCGCTGGCGCGAGCTGTTTGGTCGCAGGGGAGGGTGGGGTGCTAGTTGCCTACGCTGACCGAAACATCTACAGCTATTTGGTCGCTGGCGCCGCTACTTACGCAGACTGTATAGAGTTAGGTGGGAATGCGTGATTGACCTTGGCATTGCTTGCGTGGCCATTTCAGATCCACTGACAGCGTGCCAGCAAGGCGCAGAACACGAAGTGAACAAGTAAGGTAACCCATGATACAACTTGATTTCGGGTACCTTTAACCCGAAAGCTATCCAATCTTCAAGTGTCGAAAGGGCGCAGAGTGAGGACTTCCAGATGTTGGCGTCAAGCGGCGCTGAGCTGCGAGGGAGGATCTGCAGAGCTTTGCGGCTGAACCTGGCATCGTTCTTTGCATTTCGCGTGGCCCATGATGGGCCCATGATCCTATCCTTCCAAGCCCGGCAGCTCCTGGCCATGATGACGCGCCACCCTCAATCCCTCGAGCTGTGGCGCCGGATTGCGCCCTTGGAGCGCCACTGCGAGCGCGTGGCAGAGATGTGCACTGTGGCCCAGAGCACCTTCCCTGTCCAGGCTCCCAAGCCGGCAACCCTCAGCACCCGACTCACCCGACACCCCAAAAGCTCAAGCACCTGAGCCCCACGAAACCGAAGACGCCTATAAGGGGACCTAGGACACCTGGACACCCGAGACCCCAGAAAAGGCTCCGGCGGAGTGGCGGGAGCTCTTCGGCTTCGACGTGCTGGAGTACGGCTGGCTTCGAGAGCTCTTTGAGATGCAGTGGGCAGAGGCCACCTTCCAGGCTCTCTCCTTTCTGATCCCGAGCCTACGGAAGCGATTCGGAGATTTCGGAGCCATAAACGTGGACGTGGATTCGTCCCTTTTCAGCTCTCAGGCTCCCTGCGCCAAGCTGGCCAAGAGCTCAAGGGAGAAGCTGGGCCTCGGAAGGGTGTCCTGGCGGCAGGCACATGGCAGGGATTGGCTCCGGCATCGTCTGGCAGTGCTCGAGCACTGCTTGAGACGAGAGTTCAGGAATCTCACCCAAGACTTCGGCGTGGATGCTGCCAGTCGCATCTTCCACTTCCGCAATGCCCAGGAAGGGGGCGCCTGGGCAGAGCTACTGCACCTGGCCAGGCTAGATACCCACGACCGCGTCATGTTGCAGCGGCCTGCCGTGTCTTACAGAGGGGCGACCCTTGTAGATGCCATCGTTCAGGAGCACGGCTTTCGGGGGCATTGTTTAAGGGGTTTAGGTTTAGGGGCCCATCTCCAACGTTGCATTGCATGAGTTCGTCTAACTTGCGCTTTCCTTGTCGCATCAGCCCCCCCCCCATACTCAGCATTGAACCTCCAAACGAAGGTCGTCAGGTGCCCACTGGATCTTGAGCCGAACGAAACCAACAGGCACATCCACGTCCAGCTTGCATTTCACGCCTGTGAACAACCCCCCTAGAACCCCGAAATCTCGAGACCTTCCCTCCAGGAGTGCCTGCGGGACGGGATGCCAGGGCGCCGGCCTGGGCGATTGGCCACCTGTGCATGGGAGCTCACGCCGCTGGGACGGCCCGGGCAGCGTCAGGATTTTGGTATTTAGGGGTTTAGGCGGGTTTAGGGTGAGGCCTGCCCCTTACGTGGTATAGTCTGGTCATAGTTATTCCGACCCCGCGGAGGGCGGGGAGAAGTCGACAGCAACGTCGCATGGTATATTTCCACCCTGTGACACTTAGACCCCAAACCCTAAACCCTCAGCTTCCCGGCTTCGGCTCCCATCAGGCACACTTGGAGCACGCCGGATAATGACGTCTGGCACGCCGTGGCAGGAACAGTCCTGCAGGCTGAGCCGGCATCTGAAAGATTCAACGTGGAGGTTGTACTCTTCCTGGAGGGATCCCCCAAAGAGCTCAGAGAAGGGTTACAGCACCAGAAGCAAGGCTTCCCGACCGGCGTGTCTAAAGGACACGACGAGTACTGGAATGTGACGTGCTGGTTTCCAAGCGTGGAAGGTTCCACCTACTCCTCCGAGGCCTCCTCTTTCGCACTGAGCTCCCACAGCATCCGCGTCCTCTGCCCCATCCCTGGCTGCACTGCCTCGAACAGGTCGGCCTGAAACCGCTTCTTATTGGGACTATAGTGGTGATAGTAGCATTGGTCTCAATAGTCGTTTGTTAGGTTATAGTAGGTTTTTTGGGTTTGCCTCCACCAGGTCGACCTTTCCTCTGCGATTTGAGATGACCCTGCAGATCGAGCAGTCGATGCTGCCCTTGTCCTTTCACTCGCGCCAGCGGCACGAAGGAGGGGGCTTCCATTGGTCAGAAGTACAAGGTATGCCTTAATCTTCCTTTCAGCATAAGCGGAGCTTCAGGTACCGAGAATACCTAGAACCCAAGTTAGCTACCAGTGAACTTTTCAACAAGGAGGGGGCATCTTGCTTTGCTCGCAGCCCCTGTGGAATTTGGGCGCCATTTCTGCCAAGTATGCTCGGGCAATCGAGGGGTGGCTCGAATACCATTACCGCCTGGGTATCACGCACTTCGACCTCTACGACAATGACGGGTCCCTGTTGCCTTATCTGCCGGATTGGATGATTCAGAAGCATGTGGTGAGCTACTTTCCAAGATTCTCGGCCAGGTTTCCAAGACTGGACACGCTGACGCAGCGAGGCTGCCACTACTGCGCAGAGAGGTTGGCCTACGACCACTGCTTTCACCGGAACATCGGCTATATGGACTGGGCCTTCATCCTCAGCAGCTTCGATGCCTACGCAGCAATGCCAAGTTTGCCAAGTTTGCCACAGGGGCACCTTGGGTCCCAAGAGTTGTTGGCGCTCCCAGGAGCTGTTCTGGACATGGCGCAAAATGCTGAAGCCAAGGCGAAGCAGCCAGTCTGTGTGCTCTATGTCCAAGAGGTCAAGTTTGGAGGACCCCGCCACTCCAGCGATCACCTGGCATTGGCTTTCGAGTGGCGCTCGAATAAGACTCACTCTTCGCCATACTTTCGGGGCACCAACATGGTCGCCTTGGATGGATCTGCTATCTACTCCAGTGTACACCGACCCACGTGCAGGCACGGAACAACGTCGGATGTTTTCGCACTATCCACGCTGAGGTTTAATCATTACGTGGATGCCTTTAGCAAGCGATGTCGCGACTGCCACGTGCGCGACGACAGCATCTTCGCGAGCATCCAAGGTGCGGCAGACCTGCAGCGACTGGAAGCCGCTGCGAAACTTGCCGGTCATTCTTTCCCGATGGACGCGCGCTCAGATGAGCCAAGGGTGGCTGACCGGGAAAAAGCAGACAGTGTTGATGTCCCCGAGTAGAAGCTGTTAGTAGCTTTGTACATTGAGGAGTGCTGTCAAGCTTTTTGCTGGCCTTTTCAGCCTCAACATCCGCATGAAACCGCCTAAACCCCTAAACCCTAAGAGCCGTAAACCCGATTATCAGCAGCAGCAGCAGCAGCAGCAGCAGCAGCAGCAGTTGTTCTGTCGCTGCCGTTGTATTATTATTTCCAGCGTCAGTTTCAGTTTGCATCTTCTCGTTATGTACACCAAACAATATCGAAATCATCATGCCTTGCAGGCCCATCGTTCATCAGCACATGCCTGCGTGGTAGTTAGTTCTTCCTTCCGACGGGATTATCTGTTTTGGGTTCTGTTCGTTCTCGGTGGTCTCTTGCATCTACGAGTTTCTGTTCATTTCTGGGAGGAGAGTCGAGGCGAGGGACATGGCCACCGGGAGCTACACTCGCTTGTGACGTCACTTCTTTCTCGCTTCCGACTTTGGCAAACTCTTAACTCTTCAAGAAGATCCTTTTCCTTAGGTTTGCTTCAACTTTGCCGATCTGTGAAAATACAATTATGTACTGAGGCACCTCAGTTTGCCTTTGTATTTCTAACTTGCGTTATAGTTATTGACTTGAAATGTACATAGATCTGGAAGGCAAGGAAATGGTCGCAGCAGGTGAGTTTGCACGCCTCCCAAGCAGAAATCATCGCCAGAGAAAAGCTGTGAGGGCTTGCTATAGTCACAAGCGATTACGCCATACAGCCCGCCGCGGATGGTAGGGTTGGAAGAGGAGGAAGGCCTCACAAAGCAAACGGTAAAAGCATGGAAAACAAGGGCGGGCGGGGAGGGAGGAGAGCGCAGACGGACGGAGGGGTCAGGGTGGGGGGAATCAGATGTGGGGCTCGGTGGATCCAGAAGGCATGCGACGTGTCACCGGCGTCCTTCCGGAGTAGCGAGTAATGTGCTTGGAGAACTACGTGACAAGTAGAAAAAAGGAGCACAGTCCACTCGTGGCACGAAATGCATGTAAACCTATGCCATCCCTATGCCCAAACCCTCGACTAAGCCCGAAACACACTAAACCAGTTCAGCGAGAAACCCTGAGCTCCAAGCTTGCCAGCCGAAAGCCAGACGTCTGAAATCCTGAACACTGCTCCCCCCCAAATGTAGGGCAGTTTCAGGGTCGCAGGTCTGCACCCTTGGCTTTGGCTTTGCTGCTCCCAAGGGGCTCAAGGAAGTAAGACACAGTCATTCAGGTGTCGAACTTTCGCGCTTCCTAAACTTCAAAACCCTAGCACCCTGAAGCAGCCAAGTAATCCAATCCCAAGAACCTAAACGAAAGCGTACACACTCGAAAACCTTTTGGGTTTAGGGTTTAGGGTTTGGTGTTTGATCCTTTTGCTGGGCGGCCTGCAGGTCGCAAGCCTTGTTTTAGTGGCTGTGGAGGATCCCCCCCACCCACCCTCATCCAACCCTAAACCCCCTACACCCCACCTAAACTCGAAAACTTAAACCCTAAAACAAAGCAAGGACATCTCCCAATCTCGAGTTGTCCATAGAAGAGGCTAGCAGAGAGAACCCTCAAATCCTAAATTTACCCCAGACCCTCAACCCTAAACCCGAAAGCCTGAATCCAGCTTCAGGATTTCGGCTCGAGGTTTGCTCAGTGTCCTTGCAAGAGACAGAATGCGCTCGGCCGGCGCCATGATGAAGGCGGCTCGGCGAGCAACCTCGTTGCGCGCCTTCTCGACTCCAGACACGTCTGCAGCCACTGTGAAGCCCTTTCAATCGATCCTTGACAATTGAATGGCCCCCAGATTGGGATGAAATAAACCTTAAACCCGAAAACCCTAAACATCATAAACCTGAAGCCCTACCAGAATCAGATAACGGAGCCGAAAAAACCTCACATTCCAGCTCCCAAGGATACCAGGCAACTGGAAGGGCATGATGCCCCTCATTGGCGTTGCGCCCATCTTTCTGCCCTACGTGGTCAAAGAGGCAGACGGCGGAGGACTCTTAACCGAGGACTTTCTGAAGGACCAGTACCTTAGCTCCCCGTGTTGGCTTCTCGCAGCCTGGTATCTTTCTGAAAGCTTGAACTTCTTATGGTTCCCTTGGGTTTCGGGAGACAGTAAGGTACGACCGCTATGGCAGAGATACGGGCATTTCTCAGTTTGGTCCATCCAGTGAAAAGTGTGCCATTGTCTACGACGAAGGCTACCTGCAAGTCTTTCAAAAGGAAGGTAAGTATCCAAGCGGCATTTTGGAAGGCGCTTGGCCCATCAAGCAGTACAACGAAAAATACGCCAAGGAATCTCCACCCAATCCCTTTCTGGAACGAGGCGAAACTTGGCGGAAAGGCCGCATGGCCATCAACCCCTACCTGTTCAACATTCAGGCTGCCCAATCGTATCTGGATCCTATCAATGAGACAGCTCGATCGGCGGCAGAACACTTCGAGGACTTTGCCACGACCGGCCGATGCCTGGGGACAATGATTGAGCCGTTTTTCTTCTGTGTGCCACTTAATCCGATGACAATAGGACCTCAATAGGGGGTGGGTCAATATGGGTGGGTCAAAATTAGGGGTCTTTTGGGGTCCTTATTATAGTATATGCCTTATAATTTAAAGTACCAACAAGGGCCCATAAAGTTTGACCCACCCACAAAAGGATCCCAATTTCCCATGTCGCAAGGATTCGATCAGTTTTGCGAGCTGGCCGCCTTTGACATGTTCACAGCGGCAGCCTTGGGCGTGCAGCTGAACAGTGCCTGGGACGAAGTGAAGCCTGGAGTTGGGGCTCATATGGAATTCGAAACCCTCAACCCTAAACTCCCTAAACTCCCTAAACTTTCCCCCTCAACCCTTTTGGGGGGGTCTCATTTCCTCCCCCCGAGGTGTTGGTAGCGACCCAAAGGGCCTCCACTACTTCAAGGAGATCCATGGGGGCATCGGAACCATGGTAACTTCGTTATAGTTGCGGAACTTTTTGCATCTGTATGGGTACTTAAGCCCAAGAAGGAATCGATTTCTTGTTTTAATATTATCCCAACCATGAGCTAGGTAAAGGTCACCACCAACTGCCCCTACTCCAAGCTCGACATGTTCCTTGGGCCCCCCCCTCTCCCCCACGGGAGGGATTTTGTGTTTTGATTTTTTGGTCCCTCTCGTTTTTCGGGGAAGACGGATCTTATTCAGGAGTCTGTTTTCTTGAGGGTTTGCAACTTACAACAGTGCACAAACCCTAAACCCCAAACCCTAAGCCCCTTCCATCGAGCGACAGACCCCGAACGCTTGGCCGAGGACCTCACAGCGCGAGCGCCCATGCGAAAAGAGAGACGGAAAAATTATGGTTAATTAAACCTCACCGAGAACATCAGTACCCGAATAAGGGATCCCACAGCAGACCACCTAACCCTTTTCTCTGGACGTGGTTTCGGGTTTAGGGTTGTGACGCGGGCTGTTAGCTACTTCTATAAATCCCTGGAAATGATTTATTTCCGAAAAAAAAGGGGAATAAAATGTAATCCAAAAAGCGAAAAAAGTGCAAACGACTCAAAAAGTGCAAAAAAAAGTCTTTAAAAAAAGCAAACCAAACCACCAAAAAAAGCGAAAAAATGACCCAAAAAAACCAAAAAAAATGACTCTAAAAAAGCAAAAAAAAAGGAAATAATACAAAAGACTCCCCAGACCTGCCAGTGGAGTTTCCGAAGAGTCTGTGGCAACACAAAGACAGCACACAGGCAAGTACTGGTTAACATGAGTTGGCCGTCAAAACCATTAGTTCAGCAAAAGCAAATTGAAATAGGAGAGAGGTAGACAAGCAAGGACCCACAGCAAAACATGACATATACAGTGGACTCAGTGGATTCAGATTTGAAGTCGCAGAACAAATTAGCCCAAAAAGCAAAGTTTTTAATTGGAGCGGTTGTTGCCATCGGTACAAACATAAGGCAAACAGGAAGCAGCATTGGGAGTCGACCCAGGCGCATGTCTCAACCTTGGCCTCCAACCTCTCACGAAAACCCTGGCCATGCACAAGTGAAGCAGGGCCCAGTGGAGCTTGCCACGTTGGAATTTGCATACATTTTTATTGAGAGGTATGTGACCGCACTGTATTGCTTGAGGATGCATCCGACACAGTGTCCCTGTCCGAGTCTTCTAAATTTAAATGGCTCATGCCCATACCCGTGCTGGACATCCGCTATCCAGCTGGACGATCACTAACGTGAACAGGCTGGCCGAGCCAACCGACGAGACATAGACATAGACACACACGCACACACACACACACAAGCCCTTGCGCTTGAAGGCTTAAAAGCATCCGATCCGATCATTTTTGCCCGTCCAAGTTTGCAGAAAGCGGTATGAGCTTCAAGCTTGAAGTTAAAAGCGAAGTCATGCCAGATCGGCGCACTGCGTGCACAGTCACAATGAACTCATTCCTTTTGCATGTGGCCTGCTCGGACATGACTTGAAAGGTTTGCAAAATGAGAAGACTGAAGCTGCACAGGCGCTGCAGTCCTGCAGCTGTCGTGCCCGGCCTAGCCGGGCCTCACCCTTCTTCATTCTGCAGTCACAGGGCCAAAACGACATGTGACTCTTAAGATTATTAGAGTCATTAGTATATGGGATGGTGTTGGGCCTAGGGCCTAGGGATTGCTGCCTAATGCGAATTTTCAGAAGGGTCTGAGGGAGCAGTGAAGGGCCTCAACCCTAAACCCTAAACCCTAAACCCTAAACCCTAAACCCTAAACCCTAAACCCTAAACCCTAAACCCTCACGCAACGCGGGTCTCCCAGAGTCCCAGATAGGTGCTGAAGGGCCTCTGCGGGTCCCAGGGAGGCAGTGAAGGGCCTCTAATCCCTCGTGCTTCGGCGTTCCAGGTGGGAGGCCTCCAATCCCTGTTGCTTCGGGGTCCCAAGTGAAGGGCCTCTAAGGCGTGAGGGGCAGTGAAAGGCCTGTAATCCCTCATGCTTGGGGGTCGGGGTCACAGGTGGCAGTGCCTCTAATCCCTCGTGCTTCGGGGGTGTCAGGGCCTCCAATCCCTCGTCCCAAAGTCCAGGTGGGAGTGAAGGGCCTCTAATCCCTCGTGCTGGGGCGTCCCAAGAGCCAGTGAAGGGCCTCTAGTCCCTCGTGCTTGGGAGTTTTGCAGGGAGGGAGAAGGCCTCCAAGGACAGAGTAAAGGGCCTCTAATCCCTCATGCTTCGGCGTTCCAGGTCAGGTGGGTGAGGTCCAATCCCTCTGGCTTCGGGGTTCGAAGGGCCTGAGAGGGGCAGTGAAGGGCCTCTCACCCCTCATGCTTCGGGGGTCCGGGTCCCAGGTAGGAGTGAAGCGCCTCGAAACCCTCATGCTTGGAGGGTCCCAGGGGCCAGTGAAGGGCCTCTAATCCCTGGTGCTTCGCGGGGTGGAGGGCCTCTAATCCCTTGTGCTGGGGTGCCCAGGGGGCAGTGAAGGGCCTCTAATCCCTCGTGCTTCGGGTCCCAGGGAGGGAGTGAAAGGGCCTCCAATCCTTTGTGGTTGGGGGTTCCATCCAGTGAAGGGTCTCTAATCACTCTAATCCTTCGTGCTGGGGGGGTCCCAGGGTGGGAGGGCTTGGGGGGGCAGTGAAGGGCCTCTAATCCCTCGCGCTTGTGCTTGGGGTGGGAGTGCAGGGTCTCTAATCCCTCGTGCTTCGGGGGGCCTCCAATCCTTCAGTGGGAGTGAAGGGCCTCTAATCCCTCGTGCTTCGTGGGGTCCTAGGTGGGAGAGTGAAGGGCCTCTCATCCCTCGTGTTGGGGGCTCTCAAATTTTTAAAGGGGCAGCGCGGGCGTTCCCTCATGCTTCGCGGGGGTCTCAGGGGGCTCTGATCCCTCGTGCTTCGGAGCCTTAGCAATGGGAGTGAAGGGCCTCTAATCCCGTGCGGTTTGGGGTCCCAGATTGGGAGTGAAGGGCTCTAATCCGTCGTGCTTTGGGGTGGGAGTGAAGGGCCTCTAATCCCTCGGAGGGCCTCAAGGGGCAGTGAAGGGCAGTGAAGGGCCTTTAATCCCTCATGCTTCAGAACGTTTTGTTGCATGTCACTTCCGAAGGCCTCCTTCAGCTTCGCCAGGTTCGGCTCCAAACTCGACACGTCCTCGTCAAGGAAGGTAGCCACGCAGGTTTTGACGTCATCCAGGGATGGATCGTCCTTCAGATCCTTTCGCCACGATGTTGCAGGAATGTGCAAGTCACCGGTTGTGCTGGAAAGCTCCTCCATGCCTGCGCGGGCTTCTTTCTTGATAAGCTCCACAGCCAGCAACAGGCTTGCGATCATGTCCTCCGGCACAAGGAAGGGTCGGGTGATGTCCTTCAGCCTGGAGTACTCCGCTCCATCTGTCGTCTCCAAGGCTGCCACGCGAGCTCTGGCTTTGGCCTTCACCACATTCAAGTTCTCAACCTGCTTCAGGTAGGCCATCATCACGCCCGACCGAACATCATTCTTCACTCGGGCCTCTGCGTCACTGCCGAGCTTGCGGAACTTGTCAAGTTGCTTCAGGGCGAACATGCCATCCTGCATGCATTGCATCTGCAAGTGGAGGGCTTCCGCAACATTCTCGCTGAAGGCCATCTTTGAGGCATTGTCCAGTACCGTGAAAATGACAAACGTCAAGCGCTTGAGGTTGGCAGCCTGACTCACCAGTCCCTAAGGCCCCAACTTTTGACAACCCTTTACAGCGCCCGACAAGGAAGCATCTCAGTGTCTCGACATAACCGCGTGCCGACAAAGCTCCTGGTTGTGAACCTTCATCATGGCGGCCCAGACCAACTCCTGAAGGCTCTCCTTGGCAGCGTCACTCAGCACCTTCTGCCCTTTGAATTTTTCCACGATCTTGGCGATGTCGTCGTCCGGGAGGTCCGCGTCCTCCTTACCCATGTCAGCGTGGATCTTGCTCGTGAGCGCCTTCACGATCTGCGTATTCAACAGCAGAGAAACTTTCTGCTGCCACTTGAGGAACTGCTGCTTCAGCTTTACCATGTCCTGGCTAGGGAAGATGTCCAAAGCAGTCATCAGAACCTGGATCATGGCAGCGTCTGCCTCCGAGACGTTCTCGGAGGCACACAACTGCTCCACCAAGGACTGGGTCTTCTTGCGGATGAGCTCGCGCAACTCATCGACAGCCCCTTTGCGAAGTCCGGCCTGAAGATTCTTGAAGCCAGTGACAGCTTCAACGAAGTGCTCATTGAAGCCAGCATCGTCAGAAAGTCTTCGCATCTTGTCTGTGAGCTCTTCCAGCTGCTCGCCCATCTTCATTGTGGATGTTCCCATCGCAAGGACCTCATCGATCTTTGGCTGCCACATGGCATTGTCCTCAAGGAACAGCTTGAAGGCAGCCAAGAACGTTTCCGACTCCTTGGGCTCGCAATTCATGATGTAGGCCACCGAGCTCGGACTCGTGCCCATGTACGCTGGCTTCGGCATAAGCAAAACGAGCAAGCAAGAAAACGCTTGCTTCAAACACTGCACGGCCTGGCTGCAGCCCTGACCCAGGGTCAAGTTCGAAACCTCATCGGCCTGGTGGAGGCCAATGAATTTCTCGGCGATGAGCTGGATTGCCCCATGCTTCTTGGGACTCTCAAGCATGGCAAAGAACTGATTGCACCCTATTGTGCCCAGGATTGCCTTCTCCATTGCCTGCACAACACCACTTCACGCAAGTTCTGCAAAACCACACTGAAGGAAGAAAGCTGAAGCTGTCACATTCCGCTGTGCTACACTTGCGCAAAACATGACACACAAGGACAGTAGCCTCAGTAGCCCTTGCGATAGGGGGCCTGCAGAACCACAAACTTCAAGCCAGACGCACACACACACAGACAAACACCTTCGCACACACATATGCACACGCACGCACACACACACACACCCACACACACACACACACAGAGGCAGACAACACGCACACACACACACACAGACACACACACACACACACAAAAACCTACGCACACAGAGAAACACAGACAACACAACACAACACAACACAACAAAACACAACACAACAAAACACACAACACACAACACACAACATGCAACACGCAACACGCAACACGCAACACACGCAACACACAACACACAACACACAAC